CTTCTTCTTCTTCTTCTTCTTCTTCTTCTTCTTCTTCTTCTTCTTCTCCTCCTCCTCCTCCTCCTCCTCCTCCTTCTTCTTCTTCTTCCTTTCTTCTTTTCTTCTTCTTCTTCCAATCAGCCAGATGTCTATTATTATTAAATTTATACCCCTCTTTCCTTTTGAGACCTCAGCAAGGCACACATGGAAGTTTCAAATCATTGTATCCAGACAAATCCTTTGTGTTGGGCTTGGATGTGGGCATTGATTGATCCAAAGTCCGGATAGCCCTGGACTCACAACCACAACTGAGACCAAAAGTTCTATTCTTAAGCAAGTAAATGGTTAAGTGCATTGTGCCCAATTTTACAACCTTTTGGCTGTGGTTAAGCAAATCATCTTAGTTAACTGAATCATGTGGTCATTAAGTGAATTTGGCTCCCCCACAATTGGCTGCACCTGTCAAGGAAGGGCACAGGATCACCTGTACATCTTTTTAAACTAGAATAAATGATGTGAGATTTAACCTGTTGTGGAATCTCAGCCACGTCTTGGCATGTCATCTGCACCACAGTATCCCGCTTGGCCATCAGGTGGGTGGCATTATGGGGGCATAGCACATTATAAGATACTTTCTCTTAACTGTTTTCTGCGTTCGGTGAAGTTTTGTGTCAAAAGTTCACTTACGGTTATGATCTTCCATTGCGTTGAAAAATGGTGACTTGACTTTTTCTGAATAAATTAGTAATAGAGTCAGGGGGAGGTAGAGAAGAACGAGGCTTTTATCTTCATATAATGACAAAGTGTAATTGTCCAAGATTTAAGCTCAATGTCATTCTCTAGGGAGGCACAGAAACTCAGTTTGGGGGAAATCCACCGAACCAAAAACAGCTGGACAGCTTCTTTGGAATGAGGCTGCTTGCAAATGTCTCTACAGGGCTGGTCATCTATGTTTCTGGATACTTTTTTTTAATGATTTAAAATTCTCTTGAATTTGATGGCTCCATGGACACGTCCATGCAAGTTTTTTGGCAATTACAAGGAAGTGAATTATCCCTGCTTTTTCCCCCAAAACCTTTGCTTACGGCTTTTCCAGAAATGTAGTTGGCTATTAACAACGGGGAACTACGTTGCGGAAAACCACAGGCGGAGAGAGTTCATTTCTGAATGTAGGGCTAGGTGAGATTGGCAGAATGGACACCAATGGGATCTTGCTTCCCTGGGTTCCTAGTTCCGCCCTAACTTTTCATGTAATTAAAACAATCGGTCCAAAGTTGGCCCTGCTGGAAAGCAAAGTGCCAGCAAAGAGTGTTTTGCACAATTTGCTAGCTCTTCCTTAACCCAGTTAATGTGTTTGAATCATCTGAATCCGAACTAGATTCATCTCATCAAAGCATTTTAAGCTATAATGTAGCTGCTCTGGTTTTGGCTTCTTATATTTGGTAGATCTAGCTATCGTTTTGGGAAATAGACGGTTTAGAGCTTATGAGGGAACACTCAAGTCTTACAAACTAGTATCACAATAATGCAATGCATGTTTGCTGCACTACTGACCAACCATCCTGAAACAATTCCATTCACTTCATGGAATTGGATAGCAACATTTGGGAGAAACCCTCGCCCCCAGCCCTTTGCACTATTGTTTAAAAGCCAAGCAGCTGGGCAACTTAGCAGTTTACCTTGAGAAACAAAAACTGAGGAAAATCAAAATTCACACTTAGAGCATGTTGAGCACATTTACACGTGACACAACACAACCCTTTTGCTTTCTCTGATCACTCACAGCATCTCAAGGGCCACATACATTTAGCTTATATGTCAACCCGAATTGCTTATTTCAGGCTTGCAGAAATTGGAATTTAAAAGCAAAGTTTAATATTTTGTTAAACTCACACAATAGGTTCTTTAAATGACCTCTTTGGATGGAGAGGAACTGCAATCTTGGCTCATTTGCTTGGCGGTGTGCAAGTGGTTTTTCCCCTCAACCTACAGGACTCCGCAGGCTTTGTTCCATTTGACAGGAGGTGATTTTTCTGGCCAAAACATAAAAGTTGATTGGAAAGTCCCCACCCAGCTTACAAAAGCTACAGTTGTGCTCAAAAGCCTCCCGATGAAAAACTTCCCATTTTTCCACCTTGCTTTTTTACTCTTTTTTTTAAAAAAAAAACCTGTTTTTTTTTACTTTTGGCTCTCCAGAAATGCTTCTCCATTCAAGTTATACCCAGGAGGAGCGATGAACCCATCACTACCACGGTTTGTTTAAAAACAAACAAACAACACATACAGAATATGTGAAAACCCGTGGTGGGGGGGTTGTTTGACACATACCCCTTTGTGGCCTATTCCACAAAGCCCAGGCTGATGGTCCTTTGCAGCTTGACCCCCAACCCAGGCTCCCTTGGGTTGGGAGAAACATTGTCAACAGTCACTTATGGAAGGGAACTTAGAGATCATCTGGTCCAACACCCTCCCACCCCGGGAAACAGTCCTTATACTACCATGTTTCTCATATAATAAGGCCGGGTCTTTTTTTTTTTTTTTTTTGGAGCCCTGAAAAAATGGCTAGGTCGTCTTTTCGGGGTGTGTGTGACTTAATTCCCCCCCCCCTTGCTTCTTTGGGTGGGCAGCTTGGACGGTTTGGATGTTGACCTCGGCGTTGTTGGGGCACTTCATATTGGGGTCAACGCAGGCAGCACCATATCCGGGTGTGCAACCAAAGTACTTCCTAACAGCAAGCCCCCCCCCATTTCGCATGTTTTAATATAGGCCTTAATTTGGGGGGGGAGGGCCTTAATTTCATTTCATGCCTATAAAACATGCTGGGACTTCCTCTTGGGGGAGGCCGTCTTGTTGGAGAAACCGGGTAGGGAACTGAAGATGAAGCAGCAACACTTTTTCAAAGAAAGCACCAAGAAGGTCCAGTTGTGTTTTGGAAACAACCACGGCCTGGACGACTGAAAACCTCCCTAGACAAGGATTCCTTATATACCATGGCCGTCCAGCCTCTTCTTAAAAACCTCCCCGGGTGATGAAGAAGCCCCCACAACTTCTGGATAATTGTGCTGACTCTCCGGAAGTTTCTCCTTAGCTGCGGGTTCCTTCTCTCCCGAAAGCACCGAGAAGGTCCAGTTGTGTTTTGGAAAATGCCGTAGCCTCCCTCCTGGTCCCACCCTCGGAAAGTCGGGGGAGGCGGCGGGAAGAGAGGTCTCCAAGTACCCCCCGCGCTTCCTTCTTCCAGCTGCTCCCTCGGGATCTCCTCCCGGACCGCCGCGCGTCCTGGAAGGGGCGCTGCCCGCATTCCCCGGCGTGGGGCCTCGGCCTGAGCCCCGCTTGCTTCCGCCGCCCGGAGAAGCCCCCACTCTCCCCGGCCGCCGCCCACCTTGGCCGCGCGGACTGCGGCAAGCCCGCCCCTTCGCCGACCGTCTCCGCCCTCCGGCCGCGGTTTTAAGCCGGAGCCCCGGCTGAGCTGCCTCATCCGAGCCCCGGCGGGCGAACTTCGCGGAGGCATCCTCAGCAAGGCAAGGCAGGTAAACGGCTGTTGCGCCGCCGACGCCTTTTTTTGGCTACCCGGCGGGCCCGGGCCGAAGGGGGGAAAGGCGGACGGGATCCGGGATGGGGGCGTCTCTGAGGCTGCCCCCCCCCCGCTCCTCCTCCTCCCCGGCCTGAAACGCCTCGAGCCGCCGGTGGAAGGTGGGAGAAAGAAACTTGCGGTTCGGGTTGAGCGCTGCGCGTTGGCTGGGCGTGTGCGAGTTGCAGGCCAACACAAACGTGGGGAACCGGAGTTAGGTTTCGGGTTAGGTTTCGCTTGAGGATGGTTTTTCCTCCGAGAAGGAAGCGCTTCCTTCCTCTGGTTCCTCTGCCCGAGGACTGATAGCAGGTGCAATCGTAGAGCGGATGCCCTTATCATCATCATCATCATCATCATCTTCTTCTCCTTCTCCTTCTCCTCCTCCTCCTCCTCCTCTGGCCGCCAAGACATGGGGTTGACAAACCAGTGGTGTGCTAAAAGCAAGGGTCTCCAACCTTGGCCCCTTTAAGCCTGGAGGACTTCTGGGAGTTGAAGTCCTCCAGGCTTAAAGGGCTTAAAGCTTTGCTGGCTGGGGGATTCTGGGAGTTGAAGTCCTCCAGGCTTAAAGGGGCCAAGGTTGGAGACCCCTGAGTTAAGACTGTATTCTACCCCCTTACCCCCTTATGATTCCAACTTAGTTGCAAGATTCCAGCGCAAAAGTAGCCCGGGATCGGTTGGGCAAGCGGAGTCAAAAGAGAAAAGAAGGCTGGATCAAGTGATCCCCACTGCAGATTCCTTAGATTGCAAGAGCTCTCTCTGCCCTGGGTGCCGTTTAGACAGATTCCCTCTAGACAGATTCCTTTGGTAGAAACAGAGGAGAAGAAGGAAAAGCTGGCTGGGGGATTCTGGGAGTTGAAGTCCTCCAGGCTTAGAGGGGCCAAGGTTGGAGACCCCTGTGCTAAAGGAAGGAAAGTTAAGGAAAGCACCACCATGGTTTAGATTTGCACAGTCCATCCGCTTTTAAATGAATGAACTAGATTTGGGAGGCGTGTGGGGAAATGCAGTATGCAAAACCTAGAACAAGAATGTCCAGTCTTGTCCATGCTGGCTGGGGGATTCTGGGAGTTGAAGCCCACCGGCTTTGAAGCTGCCAAGGTTGGACACTTCTAGTCTTAGCACAATCTCGTGCCAAAGTGCTCCTCTGCAAATGAGTTGGAAGTGCAACTCCCAGACCCAGGAGCTGGCCTTCGCCAACGTGAAGGCCTTGCACTTCCAAATCCCAAATTCATCTAAGTTGGGCATTAGACTGAGGAAAGGCAGATTTAGGTCATGAAACGTCATCTTGGTCCTTCAGGTTCAGAGCTGGCTGGGGAATTCTGGGAATCGAAGTCCACAAGGTCTAAAGTTGCCAAGGATGGACGCCCCTGATGTAGAGCCTCATCAAGGGTCATCCTTATTAGCTCTTCACTTGATCCGGTTAAGCACGTGAGGTAGTCACGACGGAGGGAGACGAATGCAGCGTCTTCTGTCTGAGGCCTTCTGGATTCATTGGTACAAACTGGGATGGGTAGGAAATAAACTTTAACACATCGAAGGAGAAGGAGAGAAAAAAGTGTTTCGGACTCTTAATCAGCCAAGTCGTCCATTTATTCGCACAACTGCCAGATTCTTCTGTATACATGTCTTTTTTCAAAAATAGTGTGCATTTTGTGTGTGTGTGTGTGTGTGTGTGTGTGTGTGTGTTTAAGACTGCCATTGCCCAATAAGAAGAGAAGGGACCTGGAAAAAGCACTAGAGGGAACTTATAGAAACAGGGGAGTATCCATATTATATTTATTCATTTGATTGATTTTTATTCCATTACTTTATAAGTAACTCAAGACAGCGAACATAGATAACATTCCTTCTTCCTTCTCTTTTCCCCTGTGAGTTGGGTTCGGCTGAGAGAGGACCCAAAGTCCCCCAGCCAGCTTTTGTGTGCCTAAGGCAGTACTAGAACTCACTGCCTCCTGGTAATTGGCCCAAAGGCATCCAGTTGGGTTTCATGCCTAAGGCGAGACTAGAACTCACCGTCTCCTGGTTTCTAGCCTGATGCCTTAACCACTAGACCAAACTGGTTGTGAGAATGGGTGGGTCTCCCAAAGGCATCTGTCTTACCTGGAAGAAATATGATCCTGTATTTCCTGTACGGGTGACTTAGGTTGACGGTCCATGGAACTGATGGAATGTCCTCTTCAAATCCTTTTACAACTGGCGCAATGAGTTCAGATTGCAAAATAAATCAATTCAGGAATGACAGCCTTAATCATATTCTGTCACAGTTAGCCGGTATCCAGAAGGAAGAAAATAAAAATCACGGAGTATTTAGTAATTCCATACCTTTCTTCTAAACTCTTCCTTGTTCCTGCATGAAATTCTTAATAATACCAGACTTGATATAGCTCTTTTATAGAAGGTAACTAAGTCAGCCAACCAACCAAGCTGCGAACCAGGAGTGGCAAGAAACAACTTACTCATAATTAGAAGAAAAAAAATCCCGGTGAACTGTAATTCATTGAATTTCTTGACTTCTGAATTTGCACAACACAAGCATAAATTAATCACAAGGGCTGAACATATTATATCGGGCTAGAATGCACTAGGCTGGTTTTCAGTTCCGTGAGTTTTGTAAACTAACCCATTTAGGTGTATAAGGGAAAGCCAGTTCAAATCCCTACTTACCTTGCATACTCTCTGTATGATACAAGGTCTTTTAATTTAATTAATTTAATAAAATTAGTTAATTTAATTCATATTCTTCCCTAGCCGGGTGAGACTTATAGCCGATAACATCTCAACCGTCCCAAATTGTCTAACTCTAAAATAACAAGTACTGGATAAAACTGTGGAGGCTAAAACACACGATGAATGGTTGCAGGAGCTGGATATGTCTAACCAAGAGAAGGACTGGGATGACGCGGTAAGGGTCTTCCAGTGCTTGAGGGGCTCTGACAGAGAGGAGGGGGGCTAGCTTTTTTCCAAAGCACCTGAGGGCAGGACAAGAAATTACAACAGGTGGAAACCTGCCACGGAGAGATCCAACCTAGAACTAAGGAGACGCTTCCTGACACTAAGACCAATCCGCGGAAAGGCTTACCTCTGGAAGTTGTAATTGCTCCAACACTGGAGGTTTTCAAGAAGATTCTGAATTCTATTCTATTCTTTATTCTATTCCAATTCTGCATTCTATTTAATTCCATTTTCTATATTTTTAATATTTTATTCTGTTCTAATTCTGAATTCTATTCTATTTTCTATATTCTATTCTCTATTCTATTTAATTCTGAATTCAATTCTATTTTATTCTATTTCTCTATTCTACTCCAATTCTGAATTCTATTCTATTCCATTTTCTAACTTTTCTATATTCTATTCTAATTTTTCTGGGTGGTATAGGGCAGAGGTCTCCAAACTTGGCCACTTTTAAGACTTGTGGATTTCAACTCCCAGAATTTTCTAGCACAGCACAGCACAGCAGGTGGCTGGACTACATGACCTCCAAGGTCCCTTCCCAATTCTGTTTTACTGCTACTGTGTCAGGAAACCACAACATCTGGGAGAAATGGTGGAATGCCAAGTGGGAAATCAAGAAGGGAACAGAAAAAAAGATTAAATTAGGTACCTAAAGAAATTGCTTTCCTCAAGAAGTTTGAAGGGTGCTCAGGATCGTGTTCTGGTATATAATGAAAAAAGGTGAAGAGAAGATTTGTTTTATTTGGCAGAAGGCGAATCACACCTCGTTCTTCTGGGCCCCAAAGGTGACTTTAACCAGGGAGGGGGAACTTTGGGGATTTTTTTTCTCACGCTTTAATAATAGTTTCCCGTTGGATCATGTGACCAGGAAGAAGCAAGGAACAATTGGGGCAGCCTTGCTGCTCAAGTAGGGACACCTGGAAGAATTTTTTAAAATGTTTTTCTCTGCATTTCTCCTGGCCGTTTTCCAAGCTTGATCCTCAGTCCTTGATTTCTCCCACCCCATCATTGTCCTGTTGAGGGGTGGACAAATAGACAGGATCCCAAGCCCCTTCGCTCCATTTTCTTTCCAAAGTTTTGCAGGAATGGGAAATAATCATAAATAAAGGGGAGACAGCAAACTCGCCTCTGTGTGCTTTCCCAGAGCTGGTTCCTGGTTGTTGTTTTTTCTCGTTTTCTCGATTCCTACAAGGCACTGAATTCTAAACCAAAACAAAACTCAAAATAAAAGGCTGGGCTTCATGCAGCGCAACGAGCCACAGTTTTGAGATCTGTTTGGCCACCTGGTTTCAATAAGATAGCTTATCTTCATCGAACGGCCTCCTTACTGGGTGGAAAACCGGACCAAGTCTTTAGCAAGCTGCTGGCAGTCGAAGTATTTGAGATACAGAATAACGGAGTTGGAAGGGATGTTGAAGGTCTTCTAGACGACCCTGTACTCAGGCAGGAAAGCCCCCCAGGCTATTTCAACCAATGATGGGTTGAATTTGCCCCTTGGTGTCTTCACACCTTGTCCAAAGAGGGACAGACAGACGGAGAGATGGATAGTCTTTCCTTCTTTGCAGAGTGAAAGAATTCTGAAAATAATGTATGTCAGACAGAAAAGAGAGAGGTTACCGTATTTTGTTTTCCTGGTCGAGTTTTTTTTTCTTAAAAAAAATAAAATAAATAAGCACATCCGCTTCACTCTACCACTCGGCATCTTAGGAAGGGAACTGCCGGCCAGGGCAACGAGTGACTTCTTTAAATTGTCTCTTTCAACAAGACTTCCTTGTTTTTAACAAAAAAATAAGAATAATGGCCAAGTTACTGGAAAATGAACCCAGAGCCTCTCGCCCTGATTCTTCAATTCAGTGGGGATTTGGACTGCTAATCACTGAAGTTATTTGTTTCAATGCTGCATTATTCCTTCTGGAGCTGGAATGAAAATTAACCAGATCGGCTTTCATCAGACTTATAAAACATTCCAGGAAAGATACTGGCAGACCACTTTTCCTTTTTTCCTGTTGCCAAGAAAACTGCAGGGATGTGTTCATGAAGTCGTCAGGGGATGTGTTTCAAGAAGACTTGGTTTTATTCATAATAGCTTCCCTTGCATTATTACTTCTTCCCTTCCTTCCTTCTCTCCCTCCCTCTCTTTCTTTCTCTCTCTCTCCTTTCTTCCTTCCCTCCCTCCTCCCCCTCTCACTTTCTCTCTCTCCTTCCTTCCTTCCTTCCTTCCTTCCCTCCCTCCCTCTCTTTCTTTCTCTCTCTCTCTTCTTCCTTCCCTCCTCCCCCTCTCACTTTCTCTCCTTCCTTCCTTCCTTCCTTCCTTCCTTCCTTCCTTCCTTCCTTCCTTCCTTCCTTCTCTCCCTCCCTCTCTTTCTCTCTCTCTCCTTTCTTCCTTCCCTCCCGCCTCCCCCTCTCACTTTCTCTCTCTCCTTCCTTCCTTCCTTCCTTCCTTCCTTCTCTCCCTCCCTTTCTTTCTCTCTCTCCTTTCTTCCTTCCCTCCCTCCTCCCCTCTCACTTTCTCTCTCTCTCTCCATCCTTCCATCCATCCTTCCTTCCTTCCTTCCTTCCTTCCTTCCTTCCTTCCTTCCTTCCTTCC